CGTTTCAGTATAAATGGGTTAAATTTTAAATCAAATTTTATTTTATTCATTTTAAAAAAGCAAAATTATCGTCTTCAAAAATAATTTAAAATTAATCTGCAATACAAAAAAAATTAACTAGTATAGGGTATTTTGCTATAAGCGGTAAATTTCTATATAAAACTACATAGTGATAAAATACCTCAATGTTAACCAAAATATAAACAACTTAAATACGTTTTATTTTAAGTACAATTTAATTTTATTTAAAGCAATATTTTAATTTTTAGGCCAAAAGTAAACTGCCATAGATATCATAAATTGTAAATAAAAATAGCAACTAGATTTTAAGTAGGTTATTTAAAATATAAAGTTTATTTTTTATTTATAAAAAGAACCCCTTTTATACTTTTTTGTGCGACCATGCTATTTTAAATGATTTACCGTATCGATTTATACTTCTTTCCCTTTTTTTCTTAAAATCACTTCTCTTAAGTTCATAGCGATGTTTTGACTTCTTTGATATTATAGAGGAACTTACTATTTTCCACGATTGTTGAATTGAATAACTATTTTCTTCGCTACAAAATCATTCACAGTTTTTTATCAGTAAAATATAGTTTCTAACAGCTTGTTCGACAATAACGCGACATTAAGAAATATAATTACAAACGTAGATATCCATAAAAATAGAAATATAAATTTGTATTAAATATCGGTGTATAATGGTCGTACAAAAAATAGTATAAGAACCTCGAATAATAAGGAGTTTACCGATCTTCTCCAATATTGGCTACTTCGTTACGCTCAGTCGACTAACATTGTCGTCGATCGGATAACTATCCCTACTGTTCTTTATACTTAATATATTATAAAAATGATACATTATTTAGTTTATATTTAAATTAATTAATAAATTTTTTATTAAAAAACTGTTTTATTTATCAAATTATCATACCTATATTATGGTACGAGTAATCAAAAATATGTCGAATATTTTGAGGTGTGATCTAGCAAATATTGTCTGTGCTTGCTTTGTGCGTAGCACAAGTACTATTTCAAACCACAAACAACATTCGCTATATCAAACCTCAAAATATTTGACTTATATTTTTTATTAGGAGTGGTATTTGGAGGACAATTTTATTGAACCAAAAATTTAAAATTGTACATTCAAAATAATAAAATAACAATTTGTATTTTTCAAAAATATTCACAGTGACGCTGTGAGTGCAAAGTTCAATAACAAAAAAATAAATATCGATTCTACACGTGATAACTGTTCCAAGTGCAAAAGAGTGGAAATGTGTGTGGTACCTGGATTAAGTCCTCAAGTGTTTTACCCTAAAAGATGCGAGACAGACGATCAGTTCCAATGAATAATTTCCTGGACTACCACACGTGCGTTAGGATTAATTTCATCACACCTGCCTGGCAATTATCCAAGCTTAACTATGACGTCACAAATACCAGACCATAAAACTATACTGAGCTAGTTATTCAACGTGGTTAATAGTCTTTCTCTTTTTAATATATATTTTTCTCTGTTTCGATCTGTCAAAAAGTTGTTTCCATTTAAAATTTAAAATATTTTAAGTAGGTACAATTGCTCTTAAGCTTAATTTTCATGTATCCGTTTGTCCGTCAGTCCGTTCATCCGGGAGCGCTCTTATTGGTCCAATTATAATTCGAAAATTATGACATTTTATCGGTCCGTCAAGTTTCAACTTCGTACGTCTGACAGAGAAAGGTTAAATAATTTTAACTCATCCGTCACTACACATCTGTTTTTGACTCCTAACGTCATTTTAAGATAATTTATTTTTAAATATTTTTATATCTTTTCAATAAGATTGTAAAACCGAAATATTACGTTCGTTATGTGAATAATGTTTTACTGTTAAGTTTTTATTTAATAAGAATAACGGAAAAAAAGAAAGGACAAACAAAAAAATTAAAACTAGTACTAAAAGGACCTGCTTTTTTAAAACTATACATTTTAACGTATATTAGGGATAGAATATTCTTTTTATAAGGTATATTTACCTACCTTTAAATTTATTAGACAGCTAACTGTTTAAGTTACAATTGTTGACATAATTGTAACTATGACAATTAAGCATTAGGTAAATTTAGTAAGTGAATGTACTGACACTTAATTTCTATTTGTCGCAAAATCAATCCGTTAAACGTCATTAAAAAACGTATGCATGAAAATTAGAACATTTCTTATCGGACGATTTTATTGAAAAACTGACATACGGATGACGGACAAACGGATACATGAAAATTAAGATTTATTTAAAATAAGAAAATGCATTTATTTAAAACAGTTTTTCTTGTATAAAGTAAAATTGTCTTATTCGTAGTAACTTCTTGTTTACAATAAGAAAATACTATTATTTGGTTGTAAATCATGAGTTTCTTGAAAACAACTTATTGTTGTGATTAATTGTAAAGAAATATTTATTTAGAGCAATTAATTAAATTGTTTGGATATAGGTTGTATGGATTTAGTTTTATCAAATGTTAATACAAGTATATAATATCTTATTTTAACAAAATAATAGAATTGATACAATGTATGTCATATAATTAACGTAAACACGTGATTTGTTTGTTTCAAAAATACATTTACTTGAAGCAAATACATATTTATTTGCTTTTATGTCCACGTGACTCGCGGAGCCAATTAGAGCATTTGACTCCAAAGACAAAGACGCTTGTCCGGCAGCCGGCAGCATTTGCAAACAAACTCGCAGAGCGTCCTTGGCAAAGCGTTAAGACTCTTAACTCTTAACTTAAGAGAAGGAGGTGTTTAATCAACGGTTATAGTTTTGTGTTTAAGTGCTTATGTTTAATAGTATGGAAGAATTCTTCAAAGAAAATAATTTAACCCATTTGCTTTTTAGTTTTGTTGGTAAGTAAAAGTGATTTAGTTAATTAAAATTTTGTGTACCTAGGTAGTTTGGAAACTACAAAGTTATATGATAATATGGGTACCTATTTTATTTTGGATCATGCATGTCTCAGACTTGACTTGTTGCTTTTAAATATAATTGCACATTTTACTTACATGCCATAAACTAAAAATAAACCGTTTCTTTTTGTATTTGACAAGTGCAAGAAATTTTGGTTGGCAAACTATATGTATTTGTTTTTAAACTATAGGTACCTACCTAGGTAGGTGTTTTCAACAAAGATACCTATCTGATAATATATTTCCTGAATTAATGCGAACACGTTTAAGGTTCTGCTGAAAAATTGCTTGTTTTGACTTATCCTCTTATGACTTTTACCCACAGACTTGGTGTATTTTATTAATGACGTGCATTAATATTTACACTGAACTTCAGTGACTGAAGTATTTTTTGTTCCTATTTTTGTCCGCTCATATATTATATGTTTTGTTTATTGTTAATTTTATATTGTGTGTTTTTAATGTTTATTGTAAATACGTATTTACAACAAAACAAGTGTACACTTGTTTTGTTCAAATAAAAAATATTGGAATAAACGTTTTTTAATTTAATTTTCCCGACCAAATATCAAGTAATTAACAACATTAAAATAAATAAATCATAGTATTAAAACAAGCAAACATTTGTTTGGTTCAATCACTATATATTTCGTGAAATTATAATATTAAAAGGTACTAATTATTTGTCTGAAATAAATTGTTTTCTTCATGTAAGTAAATATTTTGTTTCTTTAAGAAAGCTTCACATTTAATTTAAAAAAATGAATTACTTACTTCAAGTAAATGTTTTGTTTCTTTAAGTAAGATTCTACTAAACCTGAGATAAAAAGTCAACTAAATATTTACTTGTATTAAACAAACCATCAGTTTAAAAAGTCAAATAAACCCAAGTTTTCCACTAAATAAATATCTTCTTGGATCATATCGAAATAAATAATTTATTTGAGTCAAGACAGATATAGTAAAATCAAGAAATTACTTTTCTCTGTGTATTAAAATGGTTGTCAGTAAAAATAAATGATAGGGTGCTCCATATTGCGGAATCTCCACAAGTGGAGGAATTATATGCAGGTTTGTTTTATATTCTTTCTTATTTTGTATTAAACATGTAGGAGAGTTGGATAACGTATATTGAAAAAACTAGTACCTATAGAAAAAGAATATACTAGGTATAAGAAGAGGCAAAGAAATTTATTTACACCGGTAAAAGCATAGAAATTAAATATAAATAGGTAAAAACACATTTCAAAAATTATAGGTTATGAACAAGTAAACAAATGTAAAATGTTAGAAACCTAACCATGGTTATATGAATTAACTGTGACGTCATGACTTATTTAACCGTAGTATTAGATAGTATTTACGCGAAAAAACGACTTATGATTTTTTTCAAACGAAAATAATAGTTAGGGGGTTTTTTCGGTCGCTGATTTCAAATCTGATGTTAGTTTTTTTTTAAACAAAATGGCGGATACAAAATGGCGGAATGATTTCATTTCAGCAAAAATACTAATTTGGGGGTTCTCGTAATTCCTGATTACGAATTTAATATTAGTTTTTTAAACAACAAAAGTGCGGATACAAAATGGCGGAGTTGTTTCATGATTTTTATTGAACAAAAAAGTAGGTAAAGGTTTTTTTGGAGGTTTTAATGTTTTTTTAAAACATATTTTTTGTTCAACTTTTAGTTTAAACAACTATTTTTAGATATTTATTTGTTATTTTTATATATTTTATTTTAATTTTAATTTAATATAATGTTTTTGTGACTTGATAATTTTATTAAAAATATGTTTCCCTTGGCTTTATTTTTATTGATTCTCTGCAGCACTGTGCGTGCGAAAAACACATTTAGGTTGGCGACACATAGTGCATACAGTGTCACCAATATAAATAAAATAAATTTTCTGACACCATAGCTCGAAGCACATAGAACAAACGAGTAACTCAAAACCGAGCGTGTCGCTTTTTTAGGTGTTATAAAGTGCTGTGTGTCATATTGTAAGTGTCACATTTAAAAAACAGCTTATAATTAAAAAAACTACCGGCGCAGATTGTAATTAAGAAATATCACTTGGGATATTTTATCAGTTTTCAACCTTTCCCTTCTTTCACTTACTATCTGCCCTGCTTTTGAAAATATCCTCTCGCATGGGACAGATGTAGCCATAATGTTTAGCCTAGTTTTCATGATTTGGTATAATTTTGGGTAGATATGTTTTCTTTGATGCCACCAAAGAAGATGATCTTGAAATATTCCTTTAGTATCTTTACGAGCCAAAATGGGTTCTTCTATATATTTATCAACCTCAATAATAGCTGAAGCTTTTGTGTTAGTGGGTTTTAAGTGTCGTTGAACTTCAACGTCAAATTCATTCCACAAATTGCTTAACAGGTCATTTTTGATAGAGACTGTCTCCATCTCAATGTTTTCTACTTCTTCCTGTTGTTCAATAATATTTGAATTGTTTTCTGCTACCAATTTTGTATTTGCTACCTTGTTATATAGTAGCTTTACTTCCCTTTTATATTTGTTTTCATCTAGAAGGCCAAATTTTTTAAATCTTGGGTCCAAAATTGTGGCCAGGGGATTTTCTTGAATATCCTGGAATCTTTTTTTTAGTCCATTTTTTAACGTTTCAATCATTGTTTCTATTTCCGGCATCATTTCCCTTACATTTAGAGAATTTAAGTGTTTGGTTATTTGCTTATAGTAAAAAAATATGTAAGAAGCGCTGACATTTTCTTCGGAACTTATTGCTGTGGTAATTGAATTAAAAATTTCTAAAACTTTTACTGCCTGCTCCGCAATGATCCATTCTTCAGCTCTAAGTGGTATGATCTCAATCATTACGAGAGGTATTAATAATTGCCAAAGTTGAGATGATGGCATTTTTCATCTTTAAAACTCTTTCTATCATATCATAGGTGGAGTTCCACCTGGTAACCACATCATTTTTTAGTTTTAAAGGGATCATATCTATTCTTTCAGCCGTAGCCTTTAGCTGAGCGCTTGCATGACTACTTCGTCTAAAATATTGCACTATGTTTTTAATTTTTATTACCACGTCCTTTAAGTCTTTTAGACCAGTTTGAGTAACTAAATTTAAGGAGTGCGCAAAACATCCCCAAAATCTCCAACCCCCAATACGCACAGCCGCTTTCATATTGGCCGCATTGTCGGACACAACCGCAGAGATTTTATTAGGTAACCCCCACTCTCTAATAATGTCCTTCAAATGATTACTAATATTTTCTGCTGTATGCCTATCCGTATAGGAAATACAGCCAAGTAAATCCGACTCCAAAAATGTGTTGTGCTCTCCTTCCACTATATAGTGCGCTGTAACGCTGTAAAAACTGTCGTTTACTCTTGATGTCCATCCATCCGTTGTCAAACATACAGCAAACGCTCTTTCCAGTCGAGTTTTTACAACGTCCACAGTTTGGTTGTACAATGCAGGAAATGGAAATAGTTTTTCTAGAAGGAATTCTATAATTTGGGTTTAATAAAAACAACAGCCTTTTAAATTCTTTATCCTCTACAATACTGAATGGGTGATACTCTTTAGTTATCATAGAAACTAGTTGTTTGTCTATTTTTTTTTGTTTGGAAATGGATAAGGGCCTTAATAAGAAATTGACTATATTTTGGTTCGTACTTGTACCTACGCGAGGGTATACTGCAGAGGATGTCGAAGGTACATGCTCTTTTGATGTTGATGGAGCCGATTGTTGCTGTACGGAATTATTACCTAATAGACTAGTCTCTACTGGGGCTGGTTGTCTTTTTATTTGTTGTAATGGATGTTTTTGGTTCATGTGCCTTATAAGAGAATATGTAGATTTATTTTTTACGGATAACATTTGACCACAGTGTAAACACTTAACTTTTTCATTGACCTCTTCTGAAAAATAGTTCCAAACTTCACTCTTTTTGGGACCCATTATAATGGGTCTACTGTAGTATCACTAAAAGTCTTTAGTCTATATATAACAACAGAAATAACTACAACAAAAATAACAAGAACTGAAACTAGTGGCAAATTAAGGAACTGTTTGTTAAGGCGAATTAAGGCAGTTTGTTACTACATTCAAATTTAAATTTACCACCTATTTTCTAATAACGCGCACATGCGTTTCACTTTATGTATTGTATGCAACCAAATATACAGGTGTCTACGAGTACTAAGCATCAAATAAATAAAATCTTTTGAAAAGCACCGCTAAGCGGTTGATTAGACTCTTTTATGAAGTGTTGTTTAATCAAAATAATAATTAATTTTAATAATACCATTAAAAGGTCGCCGCAACGGGAAAATAATATTTTAAAATAACCGTCACAGCAAACAATAGACACTTCCATTTAAACTTGTTTGAAATTCAAATTCAATCTTCTTACACGGGATTCAAACTTTGAATCCCGTGTAAGAAGATTATATTAATATACATAATCTTAATATAATCTTCTTAATCCCGTGTTTAAAACTGACAATGACATTTGTCGGTTGTGTTAAAACATCAATAATTATTCTTATGCATATACATATTTAATACCTATAAAGGTACCTATAAAGGTATTAAATAAGACTCTGTGACACACAATGTGCGTTATAGCGCCAACAAAAATACAGTGTTTTTGGGGCAGCCATTTTAATGTGTTATATGACACAATTGTGTCGACACAATGTGTTAACACAGTGAGCTGTGCGGGTGTTAAAGTGTTGACACAGCAAAAATGTGGTGTGTTAGAATAGAATAGAATAGTTTATTGTCATCAATAAAATTACATGACTTGTCAGAAAATTACAATATAATACAATACAATAAATGTTAATAAAAAATAGAAATTTACATAAAATATAAAAAACTTATAGGTAAGACCAGATAGTTGTAAAAAACATCACAGTAAAGTTTACAAATTAAAAGAGAGATACAAACTTATACAATAAAAACATTAAAATTTAATAGATTAATTACATTTGAAACTTTCATTTAAAATTAAAATTTAAAAAATCTTGTACACTATACAAACATAGACTTATTAGAATTTCTTTTACAACATTATGAAATTTTTCACAATTTAAAGTTTTTACAGTATCAGGTAAGTGGTTATATAGCTTTGGACCCCAGTAATCCACAGATCTCTGGGTGGCATTTATTCTGTGATAAGGTATTATAAAATGTTCTTTATTTCTTGTGTTATAATTGTGAAAATTGGTATTGGTTAAAAATTTATTTTTGTTACAATGTACATGCTTTAGAACATTTAGGACATATACACCATAAAAAGTAAGTATTTTTTCATTTTTGAAATATTGTCTGCAGCTGTCACTATATTTGAGAGAGCATAGAGCTCGCACTGCTCTTTTTTGTAGAAGGAACACTCTATTTGCTTCTTTGGCTTCACCCCAAACCAGGATACCATATGACATAATGCTGTGGAAATTGGCAAAGTATGTCATTTTTGCACTTTGGTGGGTAGCACTTGTTTTTATTCTTCTTATTCCGTATATCGCTGAGTTTAGTTTTTTTGCAAGTTCATATATGTGACTTGCCCAGTTTAATTTACTGTCAATCCAAATTCCAAGGAATTTTATTTGCATCTGTGGAGCTATTCTTTGTTTAAAATCAAGATGTTGCGTTTTGTCCTTGTTTAGTTTGAGTCTGTTTGTGTTGAACCAATCTTGGGCACTGTTTAGTGCAGCTTTTTTTTGTTGCTCTATTTCCAGGTTACTGTGCCCTGTAATTACTAGTGATGTATCATCAGCATATAGACATGTATTTGAAACATCTACACTATGAATAATGTCATTTGTATATATAATGAAAAGAATCGGTCCCAAAATCGAGCCCTGTGGCACTCCAACGGTCACTTTTACTCGAGTTGATATGGTTTCTTTCCATTTAACACATTGATCCCTATCTTGCATGTATGATTGTAACAAGTTGTAAGGTGTTCCTCTAATACCATAGTGATTGAGCTTGTTCATTAATATTTTGTGATCAACAGTGTCGAACGCTTTGCTTAAGTCACAGCAGACCAGTTGAGCCTGCTGTGAATTGTCTTGGCTCTGAATAACAGTCTCCAGCATATCCAGTAATGCAGTGATCGTTGACTTGTTTTTTCTGTATCCGTGTTGATTGGAACAAAAAATTTCATTTTTTTCAAGATATTCCACTAATCTATTTTTTATCACAGTTTCTAAAATTTTTGACAATACAGGTAAAATTGAGATTGGACGATAATTATCACAGATATTTAAGTTTCCTTTCTTAAAAATAGGTATCACTTTGGCATATTTTAGTCTTTTTGGAAATACTCCTTCCAGCAAACATTTGTTAAAAATTATTTCTAGTGGCATACATAACACAAACATTATTTTCTTTAAAAAGAATGGGGATAATCCATCTGCGTCTTTGGTATGGTTGTTTTTTAATTGACTAGATATTTTTAGGATCTCCTCTGTTGTCACTGGATTAAAGTAGCAACTTTTTGAGTTCTTAATATTGATTTTGTTTAGATAGTATTCCGGAGTAAGCTTACCCATTTCTATACTTTTTTCAGTCTTCTCTCCAATTGTTTTAAAAAACGTGTTAAAGTCTTCAGCTGTTAATTGGCAATCTTGATTTTTGTTTTGGTCTGGTTTTGTTTCTTTATTGATAACTGTCCATATAGCCTTTTGTTTGTTTATGGCATTCTTAATAATTGTTGCATTGGCTTCTTTATTTAATTTTTCTTGAAGTTTTCTGTATGCTGTTTTATATGATTTGTATGCCTGTCTTGACTGTTCATCTTTGGTGGCTGTTGCTATTATATTTAGAGCTTCTAGTCTATTTTTCATGATTAGTATTTCTGGATTTAATACATTTTGTTTCTTTTTGGTGTTTACTCTAACAGTTTTTTTTATTTCAGGAAAAACTTCGTTATATTTGTGTAAGAGCATATCATAGAACATGTCGAAAGAATCTTCTGCATTTAGTTTGTCCAGTAGAAGTTCCCATGGATAGCCTTGAAAAATGTAAGCAAATTGGTAAGTATCATTTTCAGTAATATTTCTTGATATTTTTGTTTTGTACATAAAGTTATTGTTATTATTTTCAGAAAAACATATGATGGTCTGAGCCTTGTGATCTCCCAGGTGTAAATTTTCATTATAACATTTGTAGTTGTAATCAACATTTGTAAAAATATTGTCAATACATGATTTTGATGTAATTCTTGTGCTGCCTTTTATTTTTTTAGTTAAAGAAAAGCTATTTAGTAGGTCCAATAGTCTTATTGTAGTATTTGTGCTTTCATCGAAGTCTATATTAAAGTCTCCCGTTACAAACACATTATACTTTTTGTTTCCAAATTTATAGGTTACGTATTGTAAGACATCTTCTAACACATTTATAAAAGTTTCTATATTACCTTCTGGTGATCTATAGGTGACAATGATTATGCATTTCTTTTTGGGGTCTTCAACTCCTACTATTTCCACCTGCTGTTCGATGCTGTGTCCTTTTATTTCTTCAATTTCTCTATGTTCGTTAGTTAATTTATTTAGTATAAGTACTCCACCATGTTTTTTGTTTGTTCTGCAGAAAAGAGATGCTACATTATAGTTTTTAATTTTGAAATGTTTTAAGTGTTCGTGCATTAGCCAGTGCTCGCACACACACACATAATCAACGTCTAGATTTTCTAGAATGTTGTTTAGTAGATCTATTTTGTTGGTTATAGATTGTATATTAACATGCATTACTGAGATGTGCTTTTTAAGAGTTTTTTGAGGCAAATGTGCCTCGAAAAAACTTAAATTTTCTCACAATAATACCTTGGGGCCATACCTCAGGTTTTTCCATTGATTCCTTAATTTTAAAGTTGAAGCCCACCTTGAAGGATTTGTTCTTACTTTTATTAAGTTCATGCTTATCAATTTCCTCTACATTAAACTTTTCGTTTGGGAATTTTGTTGTTAGATGGTCGATAATTTGTTGACAATTTGTTTTTGCATTAACTTTGCCTATATAAAACCACGCTAATGCATCTGCGGCTCCAAAAATGTTTTCTCCAGTTGCCGTTCCTTTTATAGTATTTGCATCGATTTTCGCCTTTTTCTTCTTATTGATTACTTCTCTCCAATTTTGATCCTGCGGTGTTTCTTGTTTATTTTTCGTAGCATTTTGTATTTGATTATTTAAGACTTCTTTATTCCCACTGGTTGAGGACTTCTGCTTTTCTTGTGGCGCCACCTGTTGTTGGGAAGCGGCGGTTACACTGGTATTCTCTTCGGCTTTTGAATTTGTTGTGGATATTTTCTCGTTTTTTTCATTATTTTTTACTGGTTCTTTTATGGACGCTTTATTTACTACACTTTTATTTAATTTTAATTGCTCTTCAAGTCTTGCAATTTTTTCCACTAAAAGTCTATTATTTTCCATTAACACATAATTTTTGCTCGTTAGTTCATCAATTAGTATTTTTTGGTACCGTATCTCGATGTCACTAGCACTTCTTTCAATTATTTCTTCCTTCTCGAACTCATGGTTACACTCAGTTTTCACCGCTAACTTGACACACCCTGGGTGATAAAAGTTTTTACACTTAGTACAACTTAATTTCTCCCGAACAATCGGCCTATTACAATGTTTGCACACGATTTTCTCTGGAGCATCGGAAGTCGAACCTCCATCCGACGCCATGTTGAATTACCCATGACTAATATATTGTTTCGCTTCCCTTTAAGGAACCAGAGCCGGTATTTTTAGGGGATTCCCATTCGATAGCCCTTCGTCGCTTTAAATCCTTAGAAAAAAAATTTGATCAAGATAATTCTTTCAAATCTTCTTATGGTGCAATATTTCAAGAGTATTTAGACTCAGGTAAAATGGAAATTGCCCAGCCTCTTAGTTCGAAGGAGGCTAATTACTACTTGCCCCATCATGCGGTAAAAAAACATGATGGTAAGGGAACCAAACTTCGAATTGTCCTAGATGCCTCCGCAAAGTAATGTGAAGGTAAATCGCTTAATAATTGTCTTTTAGCTGGTCCTAAACTGCAAACCGATATCGCTAATCTTCTTGTTAATTTTCGCATTAATAGGTTCGCCTTTACGGCTGATATTAAAGGCATGTTCCTTCAGATACTGGTAGAGGAATCACATCGTGATTATCAACGTTTGCTTTGGAAATTTGATCCTCTTGAACCCATTCAAGAATATAAACTCACAAGAGTAACTTTCGGATTAACTTCGTCACCTTTTTTAGCGCAACGCACGATACAACAGTTGGTTCTCGAAGAAGGTCTTAAATTTCCACTGGCTTCAAAGGCTTTGTCTGAATGTCTTTATGTGGATGATGTTTGTAGTGGAGCAAATACTTTACAAGAGGCCAAACAGTTGCAAATTGAGTTAATAGAGTTGCTTAAAAGGGGAAAGTTTGAGTTGGGAAAATGGGCTAGCAACTCTACTGAATTGTTAGCAGATATTCCACATGACGACAGGCAACTAATTAACTTTGACTCCTCGAGCGACATGCTCAAAATTCTGGGTCTCCAGTGGATTTCAGCATCCGATTGCTTTACATTTAGTGTTGGTCCAGTTGCAAATGAAACTATTATTACTAAACGCTCCATTTTATCAGGTATCGCTAGGATCTATGATCCATTAGGTTTCTTAGCTCCCATTACCTTTTTTGCGAAGAATCTCATTCAATATTTGTGGTCCTTGGATTTGGATTGGGACGGGGTTCCTCCTTCTGATGTAATAGAAAAGTGGTCATACTTTAAACGTGAATTACCTTTGCTAGGTTCCTTAGAAATTCCAAGATTTTTAGATTTAAGTGGTTCAGATAGTCAAGTAGAACTGCACGGGTTTTGTGACAGCAGCCTGTATTTATCTACGACAGGTTCATTCAGATGGCCGTATCATTGTGCATCTACTGTGTGCTAAATCTAAGGTAGCCTCTCTTAAGAAGATTACACTTCCTAGACTTGAGCTATGTGGTGCCGTTTTATTAGTTAATTTATTTCATTTTGTACACATTTCTGTCGCTAATAAAATATGTTTTGATAAAATTTTTGCTTGGTGTCATTCTACTATTGCAATATCGTAGATAAATCGTCTCCCCACAAGTGGAAAACGTTTGTCGCTAATAGGGTTAGTTATATACAAGACATTGTGGCTCCCGACCGATGGTTTTACGTTAAGTCCGCTGATAATGCTGCAGACGTAGCTACCAGTGGCTTATTGCCAAAGGATCTTGTTGAAGCTCATATTTGGTGGAACGGTCCAAATTGGCTTCAGACTTCGACGGACACTTGGCCCATGACAAAGATGTTTCCAATTCAAATGGTGGAATGCGAAGCCGCTAAACCTATCCAGTTAGCTTGTGTAGCTGTTCACACAGATAGTTTTTTTGATAGGCTTTTACAAAGCTTTTCTTCTTACTACAAAATTATTAGTATTATCGCCTATATTTTCCGATTTTTGCAAAAGTTAAGAAGACAGGATGCTTCTCATTCAGGTGGTCTTTCACATATTGAACTTTATAAAGCTACTTTAGCCCTTTGTAAACATGTGCAATCTGATGTGTTTCAGGAGGAAATACCTCAAATTTAAGATAATAAAATTCTGTCTAAACCATTTCGCAAATTGGCCCCCTTTTTGGACGAAAAGGGAATAATTAGAGTTGGAGGTAGGCTTAAGCATTCGAACCTTTCCTTTGATGTTAAGTATCAAATCCTTCTACCCAAAATGCATACACTCACGAACTTGATTATTGGATATTTTCATGAAAAATATTTGCATCCAGGAGTTCAAATTCTGCATTACTTATTAGGGCAGCAGTTCTGGATCATTGGAGCAAAGAGAGCTATACATCGTTGTGTGTCGAAATGTAACAGATGTTTTCGGGTTAACCCAAAACCTTTGGTGCCTATAATGGGTAATTTGCCTTCTGCTTCTAAGGATTTCTCAAACTAAAGCATTTTCGCATGTTGAAGTAGATATGGGTGGACCCTATAGTACTTCAGTTAGTCGTTATCGCGGTTCAAAAACTATCAAATCATATATTTGTGTCTTCATCTGCTTTGTTACTAAGGCTGTTTATATCGAATTAGTTTCCAGTCTTAGCTCAGAAGCTTTTTTGGCTGCTCTCCGCAAAAAATGGCCCGCAGGTTGACAAAAAGTTATTCGTCCTTTTGTGGCCGCGCGCGGTGTCAGCTCACGCTCCGAACCGTATACGCTGTACGCGCTTGTGACGCGACGTCTTACGGTGGTCTGGAACCTGCGGGCCATTTTTTTTCTCAGCAGCATAATTTCGAAAAATGATTGGAGTATATGTGTTTTTTTTTTCGAGTCGATAGCTGGCGCAGAAGCCAATTATTTCCGAATTTGTTATAAAAAAACAAAAAAAAATCGACCTAAATGAAAATTTTACAATTGAAAAAAATAACAAAGAATCTATGTCAAAACAAGATTCCAACGCTAGTTAAATCGTTGGAATCGGATAATTAGTTTAGCCATAATGATTTTTTTTTATTTTTTAATTACTAAAAACTTTTACTTTTAATATCATGAATATGTCAATTGAAAATTTTTTTTTTACAAAATCCTTTAGGATTTGTGTTAGTGATGTAAAATACTATCAAAAAAATGTATCTACAATCAAAAACTAATTTTGACCTAATACAGGTGGCCCGTTTGAGAAATTCTGACCCATATATATATGTATATAATTTATAAACATCTACTAGTTTAAGCATAGTTATGACTTAAATAATATTGATGCATTTATTAATTAATTGTGGTTAAAATTTTGTATTTTTTATTTTAATAGCATCGCTTTATCAATCTAAGTATTCTGTCCAAATTTCATAAAAATCGCACGTTTAGTTAAGGAGTTATCGCGAGTTTAATTTAAAGAATTTTGTTGAAATTGAACGGTCTCCGTGCAGTAGCCTACTGGCCCCGCGCTGCGTCGGTTGTGCATTCCGGCAATTCAATTATTTAAATAACAACAATATTAAATATGCATATTTATAATGGATGGGATCTGGAAAAGGGGGTAATGTGTCAATAAATATGCTTAAGGCAGGTAAAATTAATACAAATAAAAATAGGTTATAATCCTTTTGGGAATAAAGAAAGTTTGTGTTATGTAGAGTATATTAATAAGAGGACAATATTTATATGTTTGTCGCTATCCACTGCATTAAACATTTCAAGTCTTCATATTTTTGACCAATATGTGTAACAATTAATTTTGAATGGTAAAAACTTGACAAACAAAGCGCTCTATTTTTGATAGATGACAGTTAAATAAAATTGTCCTATAAATAAAAATACCAGTACGTAGTGATTTTTGAAAACCTGAAAAAAACTAAAAAAAAAAACATATTTTTATAAAATTTTTGATTCTATGCTTTTCGAGTAGATAATTCTAAATAAATAGAATTAAAAAAAATACATATGACTGAAATTTTTAAACAAATTATTATATTTTTATAAAAGTCGATGTGTTTTACGTAGGTATCTAATTTTAAATAAAAATTTAAATTTGAAAAAATAAAATTGCGTCGCAATTTGGCATATTGAATATGGCATCCGGCATTGGTAGTTATAAAAGCGGGTCAAAGTCGATGGCCTTTCAGGCTTTTTGGTGCCGAAGAAGTGTTTTTTAGGATGTCTTCGGATAAAATTCAGTATTTTTCAAGATTGTCAGTGCTGAAGAGCTTCTTTTTAGGATGTCTTCGGCTGCTGACGACAATGACCAGAAGGTTTTCAGGAGACTTCAACGCCGGTCTCAGGGTTCTTTTCCTGAGAGATAAGGACCTCGAAGGTCCTTAAAAAAGACCCTTTTCCTAAAAGATAATGACCTCGAAGGTCCTTGTTCATCTCTTAGATCTACGTTGGTACGCCGACCTCAAGATCTTAATCTAAATCAAAAGCAATATATTTAACCATTAATTAGATAGTGTACAAAAGAAGGGTATGTAAATGGCCGCAATGTGTGATTGGCTTGGCTGTAAAAAGGCGCGTGGAAATGAGATTCCACCTCTTAATTCTCGCCTCGATAGGTGTGCGTGGTACGAGTGGTAGGAGCGCAGTCTTCCGATGGTCTACGTCCCTTATACAGGGCGTTTTTTGATTGCTATGGAGCAGTTCTGGCCTTTTCCCGCAGGGCAAATGTGAGGCCAGCTTGATCCGGGTATTAGATTGGAGTCTTGGAAATTGAGAGATGAAGGAATGTTGAATAGATGAGAGAAATTTAAGAAAATGTTTCAGGGGAAAAATAAAGTAAAAAAAAAACTTTAAAAATTTGGAAAAGTATCAAACAAACAAAAAGAGAAATGGTAAAGAAAGAGACTTGCAGCACCATGGGTTTAGTAATACGGTTGGACTTGAAGGAGATGTTTTCGATTGACAGCGAAGAGTTTTTAATAATGAGGGGGTATAGTGCTTTAAGAGCTTGAGAAAGTCTGGACTTGAGAAAAGTAATGTGATGAACAAACCTCAGTCTTCTGTCCCAGATGATACCGAGGTATTTTATAGAGCGCCTGCGCCTATACGCTGAACCGACGATTTGGAACAGTTTACAACAGTCTGGAAAGATCTGCCGTAAAGGTAGGAAATTAACAATTTGATGATTTGGGAGGGAATTTAAAAGCTAGAGAGCGTCCAGCCAAACCGTGTCGAACGACTTTTCGATATCAAGAAGTGCCATAACGGTGTTTTTACCACTGTTAAAGCCATTCTTAAATCGTGGACTATTCGCGCAGATTGATGTACGGTACTCAAACCTCGCTTAAAACCAAACTGATCAAGATCCATTATGGATCATCCATATATATATATATATATATATATACGAATGCACTAGCAAGGCAACACAAAGCCAATATACAAAAATTAATTTAGATTTTGTACATACGCTAGGTAGTAGTATAATAAGTAATATTATTATTTTTTTTATTTGAATTAAGGTTCGTGGGTTCGTGGGTTAAATAAAATAAAAAGAAAATATGTATGTCTTTCTCAAGGCTAAATTGAGTTAAAATAGTCGAATTAGTCTAAGGACATTCTCAATAGATTACATAATAAAAACATAACGTTAAAGTAAATATAATACTGTATAATATACAGTGTATATACATATATAAATAATTTAGATTTAGATCAATTATAAATATAACAAAAGGTAACAACTAGAACCCTTTAAATATAGTTTTAATTGAATTAACAAACAAAAATTCTTCACATCAACTAAATAAACCACATGATAATTAAATAATCTAAAACACATAAATAAGCTTACCTATTTTCATAATGAAAGTATATAGTCCATGTGTAAAAATAAAAATAAAATTAACAGCAGCACCAACATATATACGGTCGATTTTTCGCAACGCTGACAGACGAATGAGCTGGCAATACATAACCCCACCACTTATATTAGAATATACCTGGTGAATTAATTATGTAGAGTTTTTATTCGTTTTACTTTTTTCTTTAAAGGTATTTTGCTTCTACATTGAAATGATATGGTGTTATTAAATGTTATGTGTATCATTTATGTGATTCATTTTACTTATTGTTCGCTTTATAAAGTTATTTTCTGTCTAAAATTTTAAAATTTTTCAAATCAAAATTATGTATTTTGTTAAAGTGATGTTGAGCTAGAGCTTTTTTTCTTTTTTGTTCTTGTTGAAATCCCTACAGTCATATTTATGTTGGTATAGTCTGTTTTTTAAATAATGTTTTTTCATCCCTATGTAAAATTTATCACAGTCTGCACATGGTATTTTATATATTAAATTTGATTTTAATAAGGGAGGTGTTTTATCTTTATTATTACTAATTATTATATTATAAAAATAATGGATGGGAAAAATAATCACAATTTAAATTGATTTATTTATAATTATTAAAAATAAATCAATACAATTAAAATTTTAACCCTTTATTAATAAAACTATAATATAACATTTTTACAATACATAATTACAAATTTGGTTATTTATTATTAATTATAAAAACTAAATTAATACATTTAATTTTTACAAATTACAATTTCGGTTGTTTTTATACGTTCCACCCCAAACATGTTTGGTTCCATTAACTTTTTTTAGATATATTATAAAAACTAAATTAATATATTTAATTTTTACAAATTACAATTTCGGTCGTTTTTATACGTTCCACCCCAAACATGTTTGGTTCCATTAACTTCTTTTAGATGTTTTAATAGGTACATTGTAAACACATATCGTTTTTCATTTAGGACATTTTTATTTGACTGGTGTAGGCATCTTGAACGACCAAAGCCAACTAAACTAAATTCTGTTAGGCTACATTTTTCTTATGTATCCAACTGATACTTGAAAAAGGACAACTTTGGTAATATGTTAAATTAACATTGTTAATCAAATATTAGAAAGTTTTATATTCCCCAACAAAATTAATATTCCCCAATACCAAAACAAATCACAAAGTGCTTAAAGTACTTTTTGGCATCTTCAGAAGCGAAGTGTAACAAAATCTAACTGCTTATTCTACCATATTTTTATTTCTTAGGTTGACTGAACCGTAAACGAACACAGTTGACTAAACCGTGTACCATAACCGCTTTAAAGAACACGTAAATATAAACTAATTTATACAAACTACCCAGATAGCAATCGTGCGTCGCAGGTAGGTCGCACGGCGTGAGAACGCACACGTGCGGTCGATTTCACACGCATATGAGTAGCATAGCCGTACGCGCCCAATCGGTGAGCGCAGTATGAGCGCACGACTTGATCAATGATCACGACTTTTTTTATTTTTTCGCTCCCAACTTAAAATCTTGTTAAAAATGTTAAAAAAATCCCTTAATATTAACTTGAAGTACTCTACCAAAGCGTATAAAGATTTCCCATTTAAAATACACGTAAACTTTGATTATTTTTTTTAAATATCTATATCTCAGCCGCATTTTATGCTATTGGATTGTTTCAAAAAGGGATTTACTCGTAATCAAAAGTTTTACAAAAATGCTTTATTTGCCATAGCTGTAATCTACACCTGTAGGATGGTACGGGTCACTAAATCTTATTTTAGTGAAAAGTTCTCATATTTTTGAAGATATTTCAAAAGTGACTGGATTCTTTGAAAAAATGTAAGGAACAAACTTGTGGAAAATTAAATTTTCTTTAAAAAAGGTTTTATCTGTTGAATCGCTAAGATTGATATTTGTTGAGATATAAAGCGTTTACATTGACAATTTATGAAATTTTTCAACAAGATTTTGATTTGGGACCGAAAAAATAAAAATATTCGTGAAAAAAAAGCACCCTAATATATATATATATATATATATTAGGGTGTTTCAAAAAAAAAAAAGATTTTTCAACGGGCTACACCTGAAATACTTATTTTATGTGGGAAAAAAGATGCTGTCAAAATATGAACATTATGGGTTAAATGGAAGATCGGTCTCAACAGATTCTTTTATTTTTTTCATGTGTATCGAATTAGTGAAAGATAACACAGTCCCACATCCCCTTGATGTAAGGATGAAGCGCATACATTCTTATGTATTTTGATGCGCTGAATCTAAATATGATAATAGAATAAGCCAAAATACTACTATTAATTTAGTTTTAAACTATAATTAATAGCAGGCCTATTCAGGGTTACGCAACATTAAATATAATCTAAAATATGGAGTAATGTAGTTGTGGCACTGGAAAAACTGATCCTAGATCAAGTTACAAAAAATTCATAAAAATGGCAATATCAAAAACGAATGATTTTTTAATAAATATGTTTTGATATTCTGATTAGTCATGGGCTGACCTATTAGTCCTTTAAATTATATCGTTGACTTTTGGGACACCCGATATAATACTACAAGTAATCAAAAATATGTGATTACGAGTGGTATTCGGTAGACAATTTTGTTGAACAAAAATTTTAAATTTTACATTTAATTTAAATACAATTTAATAAAAACGATTTTCATTTGTCAAAAATATTCATCTGACAGTAATAGTACTTTTGATTTGTCTACTTAATAGATGACAGGTGAAAATATTGTCCTGTTGAAGTACTAATTATTTTGTTTAATACAAATTTGTATTATTAACAGACAGCAAAAATGTCTTAAAACTACTTCCACTTTAAAAAATAAAATACAAACCAGTAATATAAGTTTATTTAATTTGTTGTTCAGTTAGCATAAATTACAAGAATAATTTTTCTGAATTTGTTGAAAATACGTAAGAGCCTCTAGCTTTTTTATTTGTTTTTTGACCAAAAATAACTTGCTTACCCCCTTCAATAGTTTTAATATTAATAGTGTCTTCAGCTTCTATTGTACATTCTGTAGCAACAATTGATTTACTTATTGATTCAGCGAAATATAATGTAGAGCGGGCATGACTACAATTATCTAAAAGTAAAAACAAGTATTATAAGATAAAATAAAATAATAATTATCATTAGCGTTTCGTACATTTTAATGTACGCACTTCTAGGAACGCTTAAGCTATCGAAATAAAAATGCCAGGAGATTTGTAGTCTAATCAAGTGTATACTATACACTGTTTAGTGTTAAATTTTGTTTTGTTCATACAACAATATTTTTTTGGTATAATTTCCAAAGTGGTTAATTTAACAAATACACTTAACAAATAAAATAGTAAACATATATTTTGCTAAAACAATTTCTTTGAATAGATATTTTCGAGTTGTATCTTTCCAAAACTTATGTCGCCGGGTTTTAAAATGTGTGTGTTTAACTTTGGTAGTATAAGAGGTTTAGAATTAATTGTTGACAACCAGTCTCCATAAACACGGTCTTTAATTTTGATGGAACAGTTAAAAGGAATTTCGATTAAGTTTATTCCATTTAAAAATATGTATTCTTCATCTTTACAGGATTGCTTTCCTTGTAGTGGATTTGTAAAGCTTATTATAAGAAATTTTTCATCGATTTTTTCGATCGACACGGCCATTGGAGAAATTTCTGTATATTTACAGTATTTAGGTGTGCCTGATATTAAAGATGAGATACAATTCTCTTGGGAAGCAGATTTTCTTGGGTGCAAAGATATACCTCTCTACTTTTCTCACAAGGGCTTTTCATGAATTGGTGAAAGTACGTTGAGAGAGCAATGTAAGGTTTTGGTGGAATAAGGATTAAGTTTTCGGTTGTAGGAATGGGATACAGATGAAAATGGTCGAAAGTTTCCAAAGATGTGATAGGCAGCTTTAAGACAAATATAAGAGAATTATTTGAAAGGTAACTACTAGTTTTTATTAATGAATACCAATAAAATTTATATGATTTATTTCTTCTTTTAATTATTGTAGCAACTTTAAAATGCCAAACTATTATGGCAAATAAGTTGCGGACGACATAAATTATAGATTTAATAATCCCTTTTAAATGGTTCACTAGGCCAGCGTAGCTCTGTTGCGGAGAAGGGCTGGGTTGTATATATATATATATTCGTCTGTGGGCGCCACCAAGTTAAAATAAAATAGCTAGTGACCAAGGGCTGCTGTCTATAACGTGGAATAGGAAGTTATTAGAAAAAAATTAAAACATTGTAATATAAATACTATACCAATTTATTAAGTAGAAAAAAACCAAAATTTGTTATAAGTTTGTTGTTGTTACCACATAAACCATTAAATGTACGTATTAAAAGTACGAAAACAATCAGTACATTGTTACAATAATATATATATAATAATAAAAAAAATAGATAATAATATTCAATAATATGAAAATATAAAATCCAAGGATCAATGACACAAATAAGTTTAAATATTTCTTTCGAAAGAATTATTCTTACAATTTAAATTATAACAAGATGAGCATTGGGTTAGCAACCAGAAGGTTGCAACCTGGTCTGGATAAACCTGGTTATACGAGCAGGTTTATCGACACCAGTTCGCAAAACATCTAGCAAAACTAGTCAATACTAAGAATTGAAATTAATATAAATATAAAGGGCTGTTGGCCCGTATCGAAACCCTCCAGCAACTGGTTATACGGCAGAAGCTGGATAGCTTCGGCACAGAACAACACAACCCAATATTAAAAACATATATGTATAAAAATTGTATATAAAAAGTTGTTGAAACGTTGAAGACGATGGTGCAAAATGTTGAAACGTTGAAGACGAAAAGAATTATGTATAAAAACCTGATGGTACAAAATGTTGAAACGTTGAAGACGGGTGTGATCCAAAATGAAAGGTGTAATCCAGAAGGTCGACAAGGTGATGGAAACCTGGTTGGCACGGCGAGAAGGCCTCGTGGATGAAACAATGCGGCTGACAAGCCTGCTCTACGGTGCTCAGCTCTGAGGTGCTCAGCTCTGACGTGGTCAGCTCTGATGTGCTCAGCTCTGCTCTCCCTCTAATTTCTCTGCTCTAAAAAGCAGGACGATTTAGGAAACATCCCCACAAATACGAGGAAACAAAAAAAAAGAAAAAGAATATATACCTGTGTGTACTTCGGTGGTGGCTAAGATTGGCTCCAGCGTACAGCTGTAGTGTAAAACAAATACACCTTTGATTCTTCTAAATAAGCTTTACTCCAATATAAAATTGATGGCTTTCACTACTAAATATTACTTAAAATCAAATTGTGAAAAATTATAAGCCACGTGCTTTTACGAAGAATATAACACTTTGCCGTTCCGCCGACGTTCACGGTAATAGGGAAATTAGAAGAAGAGGTCGATAAAGGGTGTCTACAGGTATTTATAGAATAACACCGGAAATACTATAAAAAATGATATGATAAAATAATATAATAAAAACAACCGACGTAAAGCACCAAACGTCAAAAGTTTGGTGGACATGGTTGCCAACCAGGGAAAACTAAATACACCAATAACGAATCAATATAATCGACCAGAAAGTTAAATTAAAGATAAAATAACGAAAGATATTATTTGCCAACGTATCCACTAATAAGTACATTTTCATTGTAACAATAAAGATTAAAATTAAAGAAAGGAAATAAACGAAACCCATACCAACCCAGGATAATAAAAGTAACTAGCAAACCCCTGAAAAGTCAACGAACCGCAATTTAAACGAAATCAGCTGATTGATACAAAACTATAAAAATAATGATAATGTAAAACCAATTGGGTACGTTAAAGTTCAAATGCTATAAACAGTAATATTTAAAATATTAAAACATATTATATTTTCAGGTTCTAAAATGACAAAAAGAATATAGGTTAAACGTTATTACTGGATTAAAAATAATAAAAGTTAATAATGTTTTAAAGTAAGAAAAAAACCGTTACATAAATCCCCCTTTCCCAAAAAAAGAAAAGACGAAGGATTTTCTTTTTCTGACAAAATTAGCTACACAACATGCTTTTTCAGATCTTTAGCATTCCAAACACCATCCACGGTGCCATTTTCTTTGGAAAGTTCGTAAACCCACTTACTGAGTTTCTTAGAAATGACAAAAGGTCCTATAAAAGTAGGTGCAAGTTTAGCGGAAAAATACTTGGAAGCATCTGACTGGACATAGTTCTTTCTCCATACTCTTTCTCCAACTTCGAAAGTGTCGGGGCGATGACGTAGATCGTAATAACGTTTATTTTTGTCAGCGTTAGCCTCCATCCTTTTGACAACGTAACTATAAATATCCTTAAGATTTTTGGATTTTATAACCGGACTACTGACTTCAGTTTTATCTTCCAAAGTATCTTTATCCATGAACGATTTTCCCGATAATAGTATATTAAAGTACAAGTTGCAGAAGGCCACATATTCTCGCACGAATTCGAAATTTGGCCTCGAGCGACGAAGGAGCGAGTGGACGAACGAATGAGTGCGAGAATAGCCTTCTGCAACGTGTGATTTATACTATTTTCTCGATTTTAACTTTTATTTAGGTTTTTTTAAATGTTTTGTGGTCGTTGTTAGTTGGGGGATTTTTCTTGCAAAATGTCAGTTGGCAACACAAAATGACAGTTGCATGGACAGGTAGATTTATTTTTATTTACTATTTATTAATAATCTGTCTGTATTTGTCAACTGAATAATAAGGTTTTGTGTAAGTATTGTATTATTTTTTAATGTTTTCTGATATTTTTGAACAATTGTGTTTACTTTTAGCAGTGAAAAATGTCACAGGAGGTTTTACAAGCAACACTGAACATTACAATAAAAGTTTATAACAATTGTGCTAGTGATTAATTTATAGTAGTTTTGTGTTTTGTGTACTGTGGGTATATAATATTTCCAATAAAATATAGTTTGATTGACCTGTCTGGCTCATTTATTTGTCAATATTTGTTATCCTGCACAAGTAGAACTGAACTGCACTTTTTCACATTAAACTTAAAATTTTGCATTAAAATGCATTGTTGGAGCAAACTTAATATAACAAAACAATAATAAAGGCTTCATTTTCAATAAAAGTGTAGTTCAGGTTGCACTAGTGCAGGATAACAAACAAAGCTATTATAAATAATCCTAAAAGTAATGAATTTGAGGTTATTAAACAGTTTGACATTTTGGGGGTACCAATACTTAAAAACTAAATGTTACCAAAAATCGTTTAAGAATGAGCTTCATTCTTCAACGATTTTGCGTGCGAGAATATGACATTCTTACATAAAAATCGAGAAAACTATTTCCCTGGCAAAGTTCAAGAAAAATGGTGTAAAATTGGTTACTTCATGGGTGGCGGTTCTGATAGCACAGGAAATCTTCTGCAGGTTCTTGTCCCAATGCCTGTGGTTTTCTTTAACATATGAAGAAATCATTGTTTTTATGGTCTTGTTCGTTCGTTCAACTGGATTTGCCTGTGGGTGATACCTTGCATTATACGTTATCTTGATATCATACTTAGATGCCATCGCTGAAAATTCTTTAGATTTAAATTGTACACCATTATCACACAGTATAGTTTCTGGTGCTCCAAAAAGTAAAATAACATGTTCTTCAATATACTTAACAACTTGTGACGCAGTTGCTTGTCTTAAAGGGAAAGTCATAACGAATTTTGTAAAAGTATCCAATACTGCTAAAATATACATATGGCCAGATGACGATTTTGGAAGAGGGCCGATAAGGTCAGTGGAAATACAGCGCCAAGGGTGACTTACTTTAGGATGAGTCAACATAAGACCTACTGGCTTTCTCTGTAAAGGTTTCTGAGAAAGACAAACAGTGCATTTGGAAACATATGTTTTTACATCGTTGCTCATTTTTGGCCAATAATATGTGGTAGCAAGTCTCATAAAAGATTTAAACACTCCTGTGTGTCCTGAAGTGGGATCATCATGACACTTTTCTAATAATTGCCGTCTTCGTTCTCTCGGAACAACTTCCTTCCAATTATCTGCAGAATCCTTGTACAGGTTGCGAAATCTGGGTTTAACATACTTGAACATTTTCCCGTTTG